TGTCACCTCTGCCTCCCAAAGTGCTGGGATTACAGGTGTGAACCATCACGCCTGGCTCCATAGTCTTTTTTTTTGAGTTGGAGTCTCACTCACTCTGTCGCCCAGACTGGAGTGCAGTGGCCGCTCCTGGCCACCACATTCTCAACCTGCTGGGCTCCGGCGATCCTTCCCCCTTCCAAGTAGCTGGAATTACAGGCATGCACTACCACACCCGGCTGATTTTTTGATTTATTGTAGAGATGAGGTCTCGCTGCCCAGGCGGGTCTCAAACCCGCGGGCTCAGGCAATTCACTCACCTCAGCCTCCCAAAGGCGTGGGATTACAGGCTGAGCCACCGAGCCCGGCCATAGTCTTTTAATTACGAATTAAAAAGCGTTTATTTTATATTTAACTTAATCCCATGAAAGATTTAAAAAAATCTTTTTTCACTTTATTTTATTATAAAGACGTGGGTACAGGTGAGGATCAGGCACGTAAGGGAGGTGTGTGCAGGTGGTTTGACCTCCAACCAGTCTTCTCTTCCCCGGTGTTTTATTTTAATTAGGAAAACCGTTGAAAGGTTTTTGACAGACAAGATAATGCTACTTTGTATAATGACACTGCAAAACTGAAGTACCATGATTTGCTTTAAAAGACCAATCATAGTATTTAGGGGTGCAGGGCTACTTACCCCCGAGATTTGATGGGAGCCAGAATATTTGCGTAGTCTTAGGTTTGTCTCCCCACTAATAAGATACTTACTAGTTACAAAGGGAAAAACAGTAATTTACAGTGTAGAAACGTGGCAGACACTTCTCTACCCAAATGATCAAAGTTAATCTCACCAGTAAAAGGACAAAGTAATATCATGTGCCTCCTGATACGATGCCGAGGCACAGCATGACCTCTGTGGTGGTCCTGCCAAAACTGTATACTGAGAACCCATCAAAGAGACATCAGACAAGCTCAAATAAGACTGTATTTTACAAAAAAACTGTCCTGTATGCTTCAAAAATGTTAAGGTCATGAAAAACGAAACATGACTGAGGAATGTTCCAGATTGCAGGAGACTAAGAGACATGAAAATTCAATGGAACTTGGGATCCAGAAATTAGAAAATTATTTAACATTTTTTTGCTATAAAGAACATTATTGAGACAATGAGTGAAATCTGCGTATCTGTGTTATGAAATGGTCCCATGGTTTTATAAGGTAATGTCATTGTTTTTAGTATATACATTGTTTTTAGGAAGTATTTAGAAGTGAAGGGAGACCCTGCCTGCCTGTAGCTTAATCCCAAATTATTATTATTTTGAGTCAGAGTCTCACTTTTTCACCCAGGCTGGAGTGCAGTGGCATGCTCCTGGCCACCACAGCCTCGACCTGCTGGGCTCCG